AATTTTTTATTTATTTGGAGAGGTTTTTGCTATAGGGCATGTGCGCTCGCCACAAAGACAGAGAAAGACAGACAGAAAGCGAGAAATCACCCCCCGGGGGGATGACCACGCCGCAATCCCTTCTCCTCCATTCTCCTCTCAGGATCTTGGATACGCACATACACGCGCCTGGCGTGAGTTTAAGCCAAGGAGTCCAGGAATTGAACTGCAGTTGATGACATAGGAGTCCAGCGATGTAGCCATTACATTAACTGCTGGTCCCTCCATTTAAACTCTGGAAGTTAACATTCAACTCTGAACTTGTCTCTATCATTAGACTGGATATTCGTTTGGTTGTTTCTTGTACTGTTATATCTGTGTGCCTTAGTTTTCCTGGTATAGCACTCCCTTTGGCACTCTTTGGAGAGCTGATATATTGTTGGTAAATTCTTTCGGGCTTTGTTTATCTGAGAATGTTTATGTCTTTTTTTTCCCATATGAAAGATAATCTTGCTGGGTATAGTATTGTTGGTTGAAATTGTTTTTCACTCAACACGTTCTATTTTTTTTTTGGAGAGGTTTTTGCTATAGGGCACTTGTGCTCACCAGAAAGACAGAGAGAGACAGAGAGAGAAAGGTAGAAAGCACCCCCCCAGGGGGGATGGCCACGCCACAATCTCTTCTCCTCCATTCTCCTCTCGGGATCTTGGGCATTCACGCACACATGACTGTTGTGAGTTTAAGCCACCGGGTCCGAGACTCGAACCGCAGTTGACTATGTGAGAGTCTAGCAACATAGCTATTACACTAACTGCTGGTCCCTTCACTCAATACTTTCAATGTATTTTCCCATTTGTTTCTTGTTTGCATTGTTTCTGATAAAAGGTCCGACATTAGCCTTATGGGATATCCTTTGAAAGTAACTTTGTCATTTCTCTCTTGGTAATAGTATCTTGTCTCTGTGGTTTTGGTCAATCTGGCTATGAAGTGCCTTGGGAAAATCTTTTGGGTTGATTCTAAGTGAGGTCCTTTGTATTTCTTGGGTCTGGATATTTGAGTGCCTCTCTAGGTTTGGAAAGTTTTCTTCCAGTATTTCATGGAATAGATTATCTATGCCCTTATTAATTTCTTCACCTTCAGAAATACTGAAAGATGGAAAGAGACAGAGAGAATAAGTAGGGTATTCTAACCTGACTCCTGGCTAGACTGGGCGCAGGAGGGTGATGTCTAGGCAGAGGGTCTTTGGTGGTCAAAATCCAAAAGTTGTCTACACGTTCTTCTATGAAATTTCTTTTCTATATTTAGGTCAGTCAAGTTCCTTTTTTTTTTAGTGGTAATAAATGTACTTTTAGAAGAAACAATAAACTTTAAGGGACAAAGTGTTCATCTTAACAGATTAGTTTAGACTACTGGTACATTCTGCACATTCCATAAACCTGGGGTAAGCTTCTTGTTTTTGTAGTTATAGCCTAAGAAATGCATCTGTCACTTCCCACGGAAGAAAAATGACAGTTTGGGGTCATCTTATTCTACATCCTTTCCTTGTCTGAATGACAAACTATTTTCAAGTGCTTTAAACCATCAGTATATCCACCATTGTATCCTGTGTGCCATAAAATATCTGCTCTCCAAATTTTTAAAACCTGATATTCATTTGTATGCAACTCTGCATGATTTATGATGACTTCTCTCTCACAGATTTTATTTTAGAATATGCAAAGACATATAGTTAATTTTAAAAAAAAGTTTACCTGTAATTAGCAAATCTCTTAACCTCCCTGGACCTTAGTTCCCCTGTCTTGATTTTTAAAATGGGGCAATATTGCCTAACAGAAATTTTATGAATCTCAAACACAAAAATGCATACAAAAATTTGAAGCACTACAAAAATATATATGGTATGGCTATCCCTTTTTAACAGGGAACAAAACTTTACACTTAAACATGGGATACCTGAAAATGGAATCTCAAGCAGCAGCCACAGATTGGGGGATAACATGGAAGCAGAAGATGGCCTATGCTACCTACGTATAAATATAGTCTAGCTATCACCTGGTGCTATGTTTCAAAAAAAGTAAGAAAAGGATTCCTGGACTGTAGATTTAAAGATGTTTTTCCTGATAATTAATTAGTGTCTCTCTGGCGACACATTAAGAGAGTTCATTAGTAATGCTCTGGCTCCCCACAGTGGCACCTCACTCTCATGCACTCTGGTAAGCCTCAGAGACAAAACCCAAATGAGGAGGAGGAGTTCCCCTTGATATCTCTATCCTCTACTTCTGAAACCTCCATTCAAGCCTGAGGGTGATGGGTAGAGGCAGGGCAGCCTGATGTCACTCTGGGACCTGGGAGGGTCTTCTCACTTCGTATGCTTTGTTGCTTTATTCTGTCATGTTACACCATCTATGTGGCTCACTTTCTCAGGTGGTTCCAGTCCACTCTCAGAGGCATCTTACTTTCACTTCCTCACTGGATAATGCTCTTGCTTTCTGATCTCCCAAGATAGATGCTCTGTGATTCATTCAGCACCTTGCTAGGTGACAGTGAATTAATTTGGTGAGAAATTTGCATTAATATCTGCAATTGCCTCTTCATCTCTCTGGTCTATGTGTGCTTTAAGACATATCATTTTAATCAGCTCCAATAAGCACTCTCAGATAATGACAGTAAAAGACACATTGGAATGAAACCACTATCACTATACATTTTTTGCATATGATTATAAAGTAAGACTTAAAGCTTTGGTTCATTCAACATTTGTGTTACTCTAAGAAAGTGGAGGATAGTCTCTAGGGAGTATATGAGCTCAGCTCAGTCCTATTCCTTTAAACTCAGAAGATGTGACTGGCTTTCACCACAAGCATCTGTGGTTTCCATCCTTATTGAATATAGGTTAATAAGCTATAAATACAAAATGTGAATGCTCTGTCTTCCTTCTCTGTTGATGACAATGTCAACCCAAATGAAAGGGGCTGCAGATTTCTGTTCCTCTGATTGCATCATGTGACTACCACATTGCTGTCTTCAGGGAGGTTTTAAAGTGAGTGAAGTGAAGAGTTCTATTCCCTTATGTCCTCACAAAGGAAGCAATGGACACAGACCCAGCAGAGTTTGCAGTCTGGGTACTGCATGGATGGTTCCTCTTCTGTTCCTAGTCATCATATCATTGATAATTTTTAAAAATCCTTTTATTTAAACTATTTCATTTGCGCATCATGAACTCTCCTCATGTCAACTCTGATCAGTTGACCAGATACTTCTATGGTCTTGAAAATGGACATGGATGGAAGCCTGAAAAGGAAGTCAGAGTAAACTACTGTCTCTTCCATTTTTGAAAATTGTTCAGAAAACAAAAAACACAAAACTTTAAATACTGAAATGATAAAACTTGATTTGAGTAGTAAACTGTGCAAGTGTCAGATAAGATTTATCTCTCAAATTCTGACATTAATATAGTATCCAAAGCAAAATAAAATTTAAAGTTCTGCTTTTATTTTCTACCACATCACCCAATTAAACTTTCTAGCATAAAATTTGTGGCAATTTATCCTTACTATCCTAAAGAATGAGTAAATTTAATAAACTAGGAAACCAACTACATACATTTAACTCTTAATTTTGCCCCTGAAAAGGCATAGATCTATATTAATCTTTAAACACTAAAACAGTAACCTTTTAAGATTACAAAACTGGGACCAGCAGGTGGCATGGTGGTTAAGGTCACTGGACTCCCACATGGTTGACTAAGGTTCGAGTCCTGGACCTGGTGGCTTGCTTTCTCACCTTCTCTTTCTCTCTCCCCTCTCTCTATCTCACTCTCACTCTCCCTGTGTCCCTCTGTAGTCAGATTAAAAATAAATAAATAAAATTAAATAAAATAATTCTTAAAAAAAGATTACAAAGCCAAAATTCCCTCTATGAAATCTTGCTTCATCTATCTTAACCATAGTGAGAAAACCTCCCCATGGCTTTGACCTCAGCCTCTAAACCTAATCCCAAGTTGGTTCTTTTACACTTGAATTAATAACATACTCTCTTGTTTTCAATCTAGAAAGATTTAATCAGTACCATAGGAGAAAGTGCTGCCTTGGGAGCTGCAGGAATCGTTGTTTGGGGAGACATGAATTTAACTTCATCTGAGGTAAGTCAGTGCCCTGAAATATATTTAATTGTTTTTACAATATTTTCTCTGTTTTACTATAGAGTTCACTCTATATCCCATGCCAAACCAGTTCTAGAATAAAAATTCACATCAGTGTCTAATGTATAGAAAGGGCTGAATAAATATAGTTAACTTTTGTGAAGATAATAAACATTACTCTGACGTTTATTATTTGCCATGTGCTAAGATTGTGTTAAGAGGGTGTTTTTTTGTTGTGAACTTGCTCACTACTGAGGCTGACCATCATACTCATTTACAGATAAGGAAATAAGACAGAAAATAAAATCAGAGTAAGAGCTAGTTAAACTACTTAGCAGTTGATGTATTAAGCACAGGCAGTTTGACACTGGAACCCTTGCATTTAACTACTACATAAATGTGTAATATCCTATTTTGAGAAGTAGAAACAGATGGTAACTTTTTCATCTCCACATTGAAGTTATTTTTTCTCTACAGAAAAATCAAGCAAGAACTAATAGAATTTAAATTAAGATTTATATGTCTATTTTTCCCAGCTGAGATATTATTTACTCTAAGTAATCTTCCTAGTTTTCCCTCAATCCATATTAAACACAATTTCTTCTGTATTTCCAGGTGTCATTTGTTTATATCTCTGTATAAATATATCTACATGGTTTACCTTGAATTATAATACTTGTCCTTAAGACTTCTTGTTAAACTGAATTTTTGCAAGTTCATGATGATCTGGTATCATTCTTAGAATTTCATAGGCTTAATTTGTTGCTAACTGAGATAATTCATGAAACTATGACTATGTTTACCTATGAGAATTAGCTAGAAACTGAGAGAATCATTCCTGACTTTCCAGGTGTGATATTTTCATTCCAGCCTCTACGTAGCTCATCAGGTAGGTGAATGCACAACCCAGGTAGCCTCTGTTTAGAACAAATAATAGAACCCCATACCAAAAGTCACCTAGTCAGCATTATAGGTTTTCTTATGTTACAATTGTATAAAGGAGCGTGGAACCCAGGACAACTGATGTTTAGACACAGTTAACAAGAAAATACAGACAGGTTCACGTTTGACCATAAAGTTGCAGAATATAGTGATTCAGGTTATAAAGCACCATGAAAAGTCTCAAGAACCTGAAAGGTGGACAGTAACTCCAGCATGATTTCTATTTTGGGTTCGTACTCTCCTTTCTACACACTCATTAATATGTGATCTAGAAGGGGAGGGATGGGTATAAGTTGAAGGCAGCCAAGGACTCATGTGTGACTCTGGGGCCTATTTGCAAGTTCAGTTGGTTAGCTTAACTGTAAAACATTCTCCATCTCCTGTTCCTTCTACTGTTCTCCTCTCTGATCCAGGCCCAGTGTATGTGCCCCCAAACCTAAGATTTCTCCAACAGAAACCAAACCATTTGATTTCAATTAAGTCCAAAGAGCTGACTAGTGGTAGACGCTCTAACCCTCTCAGCGCTGAGAGAAACACTAAAACCTATTTGTTTCTACATTTCTAGGGCAACTGTACGAAGGTGAAGCAGTTTGTCAGTTCTGATTTAGGGACCTACATAGTCAACGTGACCAGAGCCGCGGAGGTGTGCAGTCTTCACCTCTGTAGCAATAACGGGAGGTGCCTAAGGAAGATGTGGAGAGCTCCAGATTACCTCCACTTGAACCCTGCAAGTTACCACATAGAGGTCTCTGAGGACGGGGAATTTATTGTGAAAGGAGAAGCATCTGATACAGACCTCGCAGTGATGGCAGAAAAATTTTCCTGTCATTGTTATCAGGGATACAAAGGGGCTGATTGCAGAGAAATGAGGACAGCTGATGGCTGCTCTAGGGTTTCTCCTTTTTCTGGCTCACTAACAAAACTGTATCTGCTGGTTATAGTAGGTTATTGGAGCATTCAGTTGTGAGATAATTGAGTTTGAAAGGAACTGTGTGGCCTCTGGAGTAATAAGGGAAGAGATAAAATTTATGACAATGTTGTTCTCTTACGAATTCCATTGAGAGGTATCATTAGTAGGCACTATGCATGCCCCTTAACATAAACAGAAGTATGTTGCTTTTTTTGGGCTGCAATTTGTGGAAAAAACTAGATTCAGGAACAAACTAACTAATATGGTCTTTTTCCTTACTTGTTTGTTCAAGATGTATTTAAACTAAAGCTGTATATTTTAGTATTTATACGAATGTACATAAATGAAAGTGTGTATATATACTATGTGTGAATGTGTGTATATATATATTTATATATATATATAATTATTGATTTTAAAGACTTGTTTTTAAGTGAGCAATTTATTTAAGGACAGATTACCCAAGTAATCATCTGGTTCAACACAAGGGGTCACCTCAGGGTAGGACCTAGATACCTGGTCCACCAAAGAGGACCAAGAATTTCTGTTCTAGACTCAGATTCACACTAGACTTTTGCTTCCCACCTGGAGTCAGTGGCTACAGAATCATTCCTGACATGGCTTTTCACAAGGAGGGTTGGGACCAAGGCAAGAGGAGTGGTCCTCAACTCATGGCAAAGACATCTACACCAACATGGTGCCTCTCTGACCCACCATGAGCTTTTCCTCACAGACAGACTTTGGCAGTTGGAATACTGTAAAAGCTTGCCTAGGACAATACTGCTATAGATGCCAAAGCTAGAGCCATGTGAATGAAAATGCAATTGATAACTTTTACAAGAAGAATCATCATTTTTTAAAAAAAAGATTTAAGAAATAACATTTAGGAGATTCAGAAGTGCCTTTGAAAAGAAGGCCTATAAAAAATACTAGATATTTTTACTACACATGCCTGTTTTATTCTAAAATAAAAGAAACCATATATTATTCGGACTAGAAAAATGACTTAATATCATTCAGAAGTACCCAAGCCTTGAATTTTTTGAATCTTGAACTAGTTACCTTTTCATCAGATCTCAGCATAAAATACAAAACAATTATTTGCATCTACTTTTTCTCCACCCCACCACCAATTTACAGAGAAATATAACCCCCAAATATACTGATTCTTGTATCAGGCAGGCAGTCAAAGTTTTTCTTGGCTCCATGGAAGAAAAACTGTTCAGTTAATCAATCTATTAGCAATGCGTCTATCTCACATACTCTCAAGGATATCTAAATATCATTTACCCATAAAGAAATCTGGGCTCCTAGAAAAATAATTGCTTCCAGGTCTAAGACAAGATGATTTGACTGCTGTGTCAACAATGTCAGGACAATAATTAAGAAGATATGATAGAATATCATGGGGCCGGCAGGTGGTGTGGTGGTTGAGGCAGTGGACTCTCACATGGCCGACCTTGGTTTGAGTCCTGGACCGAGTGGCTTGCTTTTTTACTTGCCCTTTTTCTCTTTTCCTCTTTGTCTCTCTAGTTAAGTAAAAAAATAATGAAATAAAATAGTTTTTAAAAAAGAATTATAATATCATCACTTTGTGATTCCTAATGAATTAATGAATAGAGGCGCTGACCCTCAATGGCTGCTAACATCACAAAATGAGATACAGCCAGGTGTTCTGTACCACTGAGTTGAAGTACGAAGTGTCAATTAAGATCAAGTACTTCCAGAATTCAAGCTGAAATCTGATCAGGCCTCTAAAATTACCTAGCAACCCACAGGAAATTTAAGGAATAACAGAAAATGCTGAGCAACATGTCAGAGTACAATAAACAAAATTCAGATTCTAGGGAACTCTACAAGACAAATAATCTGGATTTATCAATGCGTAAATGGTTCAAAAAGTGAAGAAAGTGGGCCAGCAGGCGGCATAGTGGTAAAGGCACTGGACTCTCACATGGCCAACTACAGTTCAAATCCTGGACCCAGTGAATCAACCCTCACATCAGATGCATGTGTGTATATGCCCAAAGTCTTGAGAGGAGAATGGAAGAGAAGGGATTGTGGCATGGCCATTCCCCCACCCCCTGGAGGGGGGATGATTTCTCGCTTTTTTGTCTCTTGATCACTCTGGCAAGTACATGTGCCCTAGAGCAAAAATCTTTAACAGCTAACAAAAAAAAAAAAAAAAAAAAAAAAAAAAGTGCAGAAAGAGACCATATGTATATCAACATGAGGGTTATTAATGATATGATGTTACGTTTGTGCAATGGGATAGCATTTAAAAGGAATAAGGTATGACATTTAAACACTGACATTAAAAGATGTCCAGTGTTGTCAGTGGTTTGTTGGCTGAAGTGGCTGAATTCCATATGGTTGATTATGTGGTTTGAGTCTCAGACTCGGTGCTTGAAAACTACACTGGGTACATGTGCATGCATGTCCCAAATCTCAAAGTCAGAGTGAAGAAGGGATTGTTGCATGGTCATCTCCCCTCGAAGTACTTTCTCACTCCCTCTACTCTCTGTCTTTATCTGGTAAGTATATGTACTCTATAGCAAAATTTAAAGAAAAAAAAGGTGCCTAAAATAACACTGTCTTGTTTAGACTTTATTTTGAATGCTATGCTGTTATATTGAGGGAAACCTATGATCTTGTTCTACATTAGAAGTGTATTTCCAGCCACATTTTAGAAAGACTTTCTGGATATAGCTAAACTAAATTTTCTTAAACACCTACTGGGTATGGAACTCTAAGGGATACAGAATAAAAAGACATAAATAATTAACTGATTAAGGTCAAAGAAAAGAAAATTTCCTTAAAGGAAGGGAACCAGGAGAAGTCATGATGAAGTAATGTATACCAAAATAATATAATGCTATTGATTCTTTGAGATTTTGCTTATTCTAAACCTTGAAAACAGCTCTGTTATAATATTATAACTCCAAACTTATAGAATAAGGGTTTAATAATGGGAGAAATAAGTGTCATGCCAAAATGAATATTAGTATTATGTGTTTTTTTTTTTTCCCTACCAGAGAACTAAATACATAAATATACTGCTGCCTTGGGACCAGCAGTTAGTGTAATAACTATGTTGCTGGGCTCCCACGTAGTTGACCACGGTTTGCATCCTGGACCTGGTGGCTTAAACTCACACCAGGTGTGTGTGCGTGCATGCCCAAGATCCCGAGAGGAGAATGTAAGAGAAGGGAGTGCGGCGTGGCCGTCTCCCCAGGGGGTTATTTTTTACTTTCTGTCTTTCTGGCGAGTGCATGTGCCCTATAGCTGTCTATTCCCATCCTCAGAATGGGAAAATATTTTTGTAAACTATGCGTCAGATAAGGGACTCACAACCAGAATTCACAAGGAACTCAAGCAGCTGTTCCAGAAAAAGACAATCAATCCTATTAAAAGATGGGAAAATGAGTTGAAAAAAAAAAACACTCTCTAAAGATGACATACAAATAGTTAAAAGGCATATGAAAAAATGCTCAACATCCCTAATTGTAAGAGAAATGCAGATAAAAACAACAATGAGATATCACCTAACTCCAGTCAGAATGTCTAAGATTAAAAAAACAAAAAAATGATAAGTGCTGGTGGGGCTGTGGTGAAAAGGGAACTCTCTTACACTGCTGGTGGGAATGTAAATTGGTCCAACCACTGTGGAGAACAATTTGGAGATTCCTCAAAAATCTACAATTTTTTATACTCAATGGAATACTATTCATCCATAAAAAACAACAAAACCCTGGCTTTTGAAAGGAAGTGGATGAATATGGAAGACTTACTGCTGAGTGAAGCAAGCCATTCTATAAAGGAGAGGCATTGTATGTCCCCACTTAATACATACCGAGTGCACTCTATGACTGAAATTAATTGTCTAAATGATATAGAAACACAGTATATAGATGTAAATACCAGATATAGTGTGTGTGAAAGAGGAGAGTCTGAGGAAGAACATTTGGGGGAGGGACAGGGAGGCAAAGCATTAATGGTACAAAAGAGGTGTGGTATTATCTGTGGAAGATATTTTGTAGTTTTATCAACTGTACTAGGGAGAAATGTTCACCTGTTTAAATATCCATTTTGTAAGACAAATAATAATGTGATTGAGTGTATGGAAGAAAATGAAATGGAAAAAAAATTAAAGAAAACAATTTTTTAAAATTTCTTAGAGGCAGCAAAAACCTATTTTTCAGGTTTAACATGCAATCCCCCATGAAACTGAAACCATTATGAATCCACAGCAATAATCCAAAATAAGTTAATACTTTGATCTTTAGTATGGAAAGCAATGAAGTTCATTCTTTTGGTCATTTTTGTTATCTTTTTAATAATAAATGAATCTGGTTTTCAGTGTAGTTCAGTGAGGTCTTGATATCTTATTGAATGGAAAAATCAGCTGAAAATACTGGTTAATATCTGTAACTTCCTTTAGGAAAGAAAGAATGTAGAAAGCTTCTCTATCCAGCGCCCAACTCTAGGGCTATCTTTCTGGAGAAGTAGAACACCAACATTTCTCACCCTGCTCCCAGCTACTTGTTACTGAAGCTAAGTTCCAGGCAATGTGGCAAAGAGGTGGGGATCTCTTTTTCTGCTTAGCCCACACTCACAGGATAGAGGTGCTAACTTGAGTGTGACATCACTAAAACTAGGGACCCTGATGACCCTTGTTCTCCCTCATGTGGCAACCCTGGAAGAGCTAAGCTAAGAAAAATAGCTGAGCTATTTCTTTCCACTGAGGGACAAGTCCTAGTGGTTGCTTGGGCCTGTGGATAACCTAGGAGTAGGGGATGATAGCTAATGGGCACAGCATTTTTTGAGGTGATCAAAATACTCTAAAATTGACTACAATGAAGGCTGCACAAAATTGAACATGTTATCTGACATAAGAACTACCATATTCCTCAATAAAGCTGTTTTTGGAAAACCCTGATAAGGTTTGCCTCCACAAATATGAACTTAATGACTATGGTGTAGGTAGTTTGTTTGTATTTGCTGTTTCCAGGTGATTTCTAGAGTTAATAAATATTCTATATTTTGACTTCCCTGAGTACTCTAAGTTACTAACTACCCTACAGATTTAAATAGATTATGG